CATTTTTGGCGCGTGTAGGAAAAAACGAAAGGCAACGAGCAGCTGGCTGTTGCGGGTATAGCCGACAATTGAATACTCTGCCTGAGAGCAAGAATAAGGTTACATGTTTATACGTATTGCAGGAGTCTTGATATGAGAACTTGGGTAATACAACATGAGTACAATAAACAAATCTATGTTCTTGGGAGGTGCGTCTCAACCAAGACTGCAATCTTTTTTTTTTACGTACCAAACCTTTAAGCAGAATTGTTGCCCAAATAACAACGAAACAGAACCTCGAAATAAACCCGAACTCGAATTTTTAAATATAAAACTTTTAAGCCCTTTCCAGCACCAAGCATAAAAGTCTGGCCTCCAATCATTGCATTTATTTAACCATATTTGGTGAATGACAATTTGGAGTAGACATCTAATGTAGCCCGCGAATTCTATAAGAAAATATCGAAGATATGCAATATTCTCAGTAGAACGGGCAAAATGCACATTTAAAATTCAATTTTTCTATCAACATTTAGAGAACAGTTCACAAACCTAAGCTTAAGTCAAAAACATAGGATTATGAATATCCAGTTACACGAACTGCAATACAAGGCGGAAAGTGGGTTCGAACCACTGACCTTTCTTTTTTAGGTTTTTGCTGCCGTGTTCTCAAATACTTGCTGTACATATACTTATTATCATTTGAAGTCAGTTTTATTCATTTTCACCTCATATCAATCAGCTGCAGGTGAATTTTAAACTTCCCAGCTGAAGCCACGCCTCCATGAAAGTGAACCATTTCAAAGTAAATTGTATTCACGCCTTTCTACTTTTCGGCAGGTAGCCAAAAAGTTTGTTATGCTCGCGTTGCAAGCTGAATGACAAATGTTAAGTGCCTTGCCCCCGAAAAGCGAGGGCATAAACATTAACAAGAGAAAGAAAAATTTAACTTAATTGCCATGCACAAAAAATGCGTGAGGTGGCAAACGGCAGGCGTGCCACCGCACCCCGCCCATCACCCACCGCCCACAAGCCTGGCAGTCATAAAGGGGTGTTATATTTGTTGTTGTTGTTGTTTGTGTTGTTGTTGCTGTTGCTACACGGCGTATTTGTGGGCTTGCTTGTGGTTGTTGGCTCCGGCTACCCGCCGCCGTCTCCGTCTCCGGCTGCGGCTCCGGGTCTGCATTGGGCGTGCGTGCGCCCCGCGATATAATTTATGTTTCAATAACTTTCGAAACTCATTGAAAAGTCGCTTATGTTTGCTTCAATGGTGGCAGGCAACAGCAGCAGCAACAGCAACAACAACAACAATGCTCATGAGAAGAATGTTAAAAGTACAACAATAAATTGTTTGGATTTACTTATAGTACTGAGGGAGGGGCGGGAATGGGGGTGGGGGGAGGTGGGGTCGTACGCGCTCGCTTCTACAGCTGCCATTTGCCATTTTACTCAATTTTTATTGTTGTTGCACTTCAGCGACCCGCTTTGTCTTTGCTGCCGCAACAACAACAACAACAACAACAACAACAACAGCAACTCGCTTAAGTTGCAAAAGTTTTGCTATTTTTTGTACACAATTTTACCCAACCACGCCCCCTAGCCCCCGAGCCAACCCCCTGAACCCAAGCGATCTAATGCTTTGCTGAATGTGTTTTGTTTGCCATTTGCTTTGGTTCTGTGCGCTGCTTTTTTGCTTCTTTTTTTTTGTTCCTGTTGTTATTTATTCTATTTTTTATTTTGTTTTTCTGTTGTTTTTTGCTGTTTTCATTTTGTGCTTTTAAATTTATTTGCAAGTTTTCTAATTTGTACTTCACTCCATTTTATTGTAATATACAATCTCATTTGCACAAGGCACGAGAGCTGTGTGTGTGTGGGGCATGTATCTCAATCTATCTGCCTGGTTGTAGTATCTAAACCAGCAACAGGCAACAGAGAAAGATAGAGAGAGGGAGAGAGAGGTAGAGAGAGAGAGAGAGAGGGAGCGGGGGGCATGTCGCCTACGCGCATGCAATGCTTTCTTTGCCAGCGGTAAAATGTCTGCCCTGGTGCGCATATTTATTAACCGCACTGTTGACTCTCGCTGCGGCGCCACCAGCAACAGCAACAACAACAACAACATTAGCAACAGCAACAAGAACTTTGTGTGCAGCTTGTTGCTGCTGGTCTCAGTTTGAATTTTGTTGTCGCACCTTTTCAGGAATTCTGTTTACATTTATTACTTTGCGCAAGTTTAAGTGAAAAATTTCCATAAACATTCTTTTAAGCGACATAAAGTTTTTATTAAATTTTGCTAGAAATCCCTGACACGATGATATCAGCAGCGACATCAACGACAACGACAACGACAACGGCAACGGCAACAAATAGAGCTGCGGAATTTACAACTAGCAGGGCCTTAGATTTTCAACGACCCGCTGATTCTGGCTCCGGCTCCGGCTCTGCCTTGTTGTCCCAGGCGCAGGTCCTTGCTGCCGCCTGCTGTTAAGACAGCAGCCTGCCTGTTGGAATCAGTGGAGTTGTTACTGTTGTCGCTGCCGCTGCCGCTGCTGCTGCTGCACGCAGTTCATAAAAATTTTGCCAGCCAACGTGACATGCACAAAGGCAAAGGACACGTGGCAGCAGCAGCAGCAGCAGCAGAAGGAGCAGCAGCAGGACTCGCTGTAGAATGTGGCATAAAGTTTGCCCGGCAGCGTGGCGCTTGTTAACCTGAGCCGTCTGTCGCGCGACCCCTTTTCAGCCCACTTTCACAGCACATTAGACGAAATTCAATTAAAACAAGGATATATTTCGCAATTTGGCATACCAGTGTGCCAGTTCTTTAGCTGGAGACAAAAAGAATGCGCTTAACTTTGGCACGCGCTGCGCTAAGCGTGTGTTAACATTGCGCGTACGCCGCGTGGGACGCCTATAAAATTAATTTAACTGGCACGCACACCCACACACACCCACCCACACACACACACACAAACGCACGTATTAAGTTACGCGCTAGTTTATAAGCTGTCAATTTTGTTGCTTCTGATGTTGCAGCTGATTATCGCAGCTCAAATTCAATTGCAATTGACTCATTAAACGCCGCTCATTATTCAGCGCGTCCGCAGAAACCAGCTAATTTACGTTAAGCATTTTTGAATACGCTCAAAAAATGGCATACAGCCAGGCTGGGGGCGTGGCTGTGGTGCAGGTGGCTGATGCAGCCAGCCAAAAGCTGATCGAAACCGCAACAAATGACAAACGATTCGAATAAACACACAACACACGCACACTGCAGCCGGAGGAAGGTAGAGGCGGGGGGGAGGTTGGTTTTGGAAAAGAGGAAAAATAGCAAACACATACATACACACACTGCACACACATATATCATGTGGAATGTAAAGCAGGCAAAAAAAAAATAACAACAAGAAGGAAAATCAATGAAAATGAAAACCAATTAGCGGTTAACCAAACTGTTCAAATTTGGAAATGGATGCAGTCGCGCATGGCCATAAACAACAACAACAACAGCAGGCAGCACAACAACAACAACCAGAACAACAACAAGAGCAGCAGCTATGGAAATTGTAGTCGAAAGAGCAGCCCTAACAAGCGTCAATAACAGAGAGCTGAAAAGGTAAACGCGGTCACCGAGATTTACCAGAATAATAATCAAAGTCTGGTCAGAGCCAAACGCCTGCCATGAGAACAATTACAAAAGAGTTTCAATATATGATTTTAATTTGAAAATGCGGGCATAGAAATCGATCCGACCTGCTCAACTTGTTAGCCACAAGCGAAAGAGTATACATGCCACATATTCGCTGCTAGTTAGCTAGAAATGCAGCCTTAATGTTCCCAGATATGACTTCACCTGGCTTTGATGCCAAGTTTTGTTGTAATTAATCAAGCTAGCAGTTAACAGGAAAGTCTGTTGTCTATGGAAGCGGCAGGTTCTTAATAAATATATGAGTAAATGTACATGGATTGGTTCAGGTTAAGGTTCGACTGAAATCTAGTGTGAGCTATGCAAAATTATTGAAATTTCGGCTTCCAGGCGTTTCGGTATAAAATTGGTTTGCAGTCTTACCAAGAATTAACACAGTTAACTAGTTACGAGTACTTTAAGGGCTCTGATTATTTCCAGTTGGTCTACTGTGCATTCTCCTAGTATCCAAATTGATTAATCATATATTAATTATATTAAAATATATTATAAAATATATATTATACCCTGTACCCATTGAAATCGAGTAAAGAAAGTTATTATAAACTTATTTGAAAAAAGGGACATATTCAGACCTATATATATTATCGGCTCAAGCCAAATCAATTGGAAATGTATGTTCTCGCATATGTGTGTTAAGTTTATCCTAAATTAAAAACAAAAACAATTAAGTTTTGATAATGTCAATTAAATTATCGATAACAGCGATTAAGTAATCGATATAATCGATTAAACGGTAGATAACATCGATTAAAATATCGATTTCAGCGATTAACTTATCGGTAACATCGATTAAATTATCGATCTAAGCAATAACATGATATTTAACAGCGATTAAATGTATCAATAACATCAATTAAGTTATCGATACAATCAATTATTTAATATTTGCAACCCATATTTTCTGATAAATAAATAAAAACTTAATTTAGGAGATTTACCCATGGATACCTTTCACGAGAGTTAAAATTTGTAAGCTTAAAGAAATACATTTTGATATGAAAATGAGTTATTTCACAATGTGTTCAGCTCATTTGAATTCTTTTTCATTTCATATTTTCAATTTTCTGCAGAAATGTCCAAGAGCATAAACGTTAAATATAATCAGATATTCTGGAAAATCTCACCCCACACAGACTACCGAAAGAGAACAATACACAAATTTCTTGCTCACTTTAGAGAATCAGCCGAGAGCCCCCAAATAAAGCTCTTTGCTCGTAATTTACTCAGCGCATTTGCTGTAATCTTTAAGTTAGGCATATCAATTAACAGCCCGAGCGACAGGGCCTCACAATTAGATTACTTTAATTGAATAACTCACCTGGATCTGCGGGTTGTGGGATCCTTCATGACCATTGCCTCAGAGATATCGCCGTAGCGGCCAAAGTAATCGCGTAAGCTCTCTGCAAATACAAACAGGACGGGAAGCAGAAGAAGTGTACAGAAAATGAAACAAGTGTGTGGTAAATAATCAATAAGCGCAAGTTTATGAAATGTCAGGGAGCAGTCATCAAAAAATATATATACATATTTGACGAAATCACCGCCAGGCGAAATTTACTAATTTTTGTTACGGTCTTCATAAAAATTCGCGCGCGCGTTCGTTGCCGTCATAAATAAATGACGTCGTGCCACAACCAAACACACACACACACACACAACCACACACAAGCTGTGTGCCCTCCAATAAAACCCCAAACACCAACTCGCAGCGCCGCCCAACTCCAAAGCCAATTGCTGGACATTATTCACATGCACACGCTTCAAGGCTCAACAAAAACCAACAGAGAAAAAAAAACATAACCAAAAATCCATTCCGTGCCGCCTCTTTGGCACTCGCAGAGCCCAACCCAGCCCCAACTGGGCTGCTGCTGCTGCTGCTTGCCACGGCAGCTGTTGTCTGCGGTTTTGCCGAGCTAATCTGGCAGCCAGCGAGCGCACTTCAGTGGCACGTACGCACACAAACGCAAAACTGAAGTTATTTCAACAAAATTGCCAGACAAACAGCGAGTCTGTCAAGGGCTAGGAGACTGGGAGGCTGGGGTCCCCCCGTTGATGGGCCCAGCTAACAGTTTGGCTGCGATTTAATGCAGCAAAAAGCCGATAAAGTCATCTGCGCCAAGCTGGCAAAGAAACCCTAATCCAGTCCGACTGGATGCTAGCGTTGGGCCGCAGCAGCAGCAGCAGTCGCGTCATAAATTCAAACTACAATAAAAATTCAATAAAACAAACGATTTTTTGCCGCACACACACAAACACGCAGCAGCAGCAACAGCAACTAGTTGCGCTTGTGGCAGCAACAGCAATGTTGTCAGCGGTTCGCGTGGCAAGGTTTTGCAGGGAGTGGGAGGGCGGGGTGGCATGCAACGCAAAACAAGTCGAAATGCGTCGCGTGATTTACATAAGTATGCACAATAATTATGAACAATAAAAAACAATTTGTTTGCTTATGACAGTTTCGTTGGCCATAAATAACAGCGCCAACTGGCTGGCAGCAGCATGCCGGTGGGGCACGGGGCATGGGGCAGCGTGGCAGAGAGTGCTGCACTGCTGGTATCCTCGCTATGCGTGTGTGGCATGTAAATTGATGGCACACACACACATGTACAGGCAACTACAGCTCTGTACAACGGGTCGTATGTGTAATGCGCGCGCCCTACGTGGCATGCTACACTTTAAGTTTTAATGGGGCGGCTCGCTCGACATTTGAAATTGAATGACCTGCCAATTAGCTGCAGGTGTATACAACATTTCAAATAAACTTTCTATAAAGTAGCAAAAAGTCAAGCGTGCGTCTGAGTTAAGCTTTATTTATGAGTTGTCGCCTCGGTAAATGGCAATTGCAATTGCGCTGCAGTTCACCTGCGATTTGCCACACTTTGTGGCAGTACTTAAACACACATTGTGTGTGCCTAGATGCCAGTGGAAATACGCGAATTCGAGGCGCAAGTTTCATAGTTAGTTGAGGCCTTTCAAATTTACGAACTTGCAAGCATATAAAGCTTATTAAAAGTTTAAGCAACTATCATTTTGACAGGTTCTTTTGGCAAAAGTAACTGAAGTAGGTTTACATAAATTATATTTCAAAATAGTTTAAATATTTTTTAGCCAACAGCCTCTTATTTGAATTTGACCTTTCGGTTAGCAAAGTTCAACAAATTGTCTGTTTATTGTTGCATTTTGATTTAAATGGAATTTAGAAGAGCTCCAGATCTATGCTAAACACTTGCATCAAGTTTCAAGTAGATTTTTATACATGCCTTTTCACATTTTATAAATAGAATTCGTAGCCATAACAATATTAATAATAATACCACAAAAAACAATAATGCATAATAATTAACGAATACTTATAATAATAAAAATGTACTTTAAATTATCAAAAATAATCCTTGAAAGTTCATAGCTTAAATAATAATACACCTAAGTCTGTTTTTACACGGTCTTTTTTTACACGGTTTTGATATAACACGGTTTGAAAATTGAATATTTTTAATTTTTTTACACGATTTTATTCCATTTAGCACGATTTGAAATTTTATGTACATACTTAAATTTTTTTTGTCAAATTTAATTTTTGCGAAGTATGTTCATATCACAAAAAAGTATTTATGAAAGAAAAAAATTATTCCAGCGATGATAGTGAATGTATACGCGTTCGAAGCAAGCGAATGCGAATAACTGATGACGACAGCAATTAAATTTATGTTGCTGTATTTATGATTATCACTTATTTTATTTTATTTTATTTTATTTTATTTTTTACCTTAAAAATTGAATAACCTATTCTTTTCGTTCACAACATAGTTGTTTAGTTCCTGAACTTGCCATACATTTAATTTATATTATGTACTTTTAAGATTAGAGTGCATATCTTTTTTATCATTAATTACTATGCTTGTGAAAATAAGCATTATATATTTGATTTAATAAAATAAACATGAATTCTTGTTCTTAAAAATTCTTGTTTTTCACTAATTTTAATAGGTTTTAGAGATTAGGAACAAATCACCCATTTTTGTATACGATCAATGTCTTTTTTACACGGTTTTTTTTTACACGGCTTCTTCTGGAACCAATCTACCGTGTAAAAACAGACTTAGGTGTACTTTTATTATTTAAAAGTCATGATGTAAATAAGTATAATAATAAAAAAAATTGAAACATCAGAAAAAAAACTGCTTTTACAAGTTAATAATTAATAACTAATAATATTATTGGCACTAAATATCATACAAATAAAAATATGTATATATAAATAAAATGCATAATATAGTGAATATTCGCAAATCTTTATTTAGCTGGCTCGAGCTCCAGGGTTTTTTTAAAAAACAAAAACGAAACACATTTTTTGTTTAAATTGATATTTTCCAACAAAATTCGTCTGCACATCGACAATCGGCTTCAGGGCAAATATTTTACACGTTTGCGCTTCTTGACGTTGAGATTTCAACAAAATTGTGTTTCATTTTTATTTTTAATAAGCCCAGGACGGCGAGCTAGCTGAATAGAGATTTAAAATGCACAAAAATTTACAATATTTAAAGAAATAATATCATAAACAATATATATTTATAAAACATTTATTAATCTAGCACTTCTTGATTGCTATACACCAGAAATACGACCTAAGCTTTGCTTGAAGTGCATTAAAATAATATTATAAATTGAAATAATATAATAATAAATATTAATAATAGAAATTCTAATAGGAACAATATTAAAAATGATAATAATATTAATAATGAATGCTCTGCTAGAATTTCACAACGCACTCAGGAACTTTAGACGTTAATTAAGTCTGGCATCCAAAATGTCAATTTCTCCAGTTAAAAAACAATTTCAAATCGATTTAAAATAACTTAATAATTTGCTCAAAATGTAATTGAACTAGTTTCTCCTTCAAAGCGCAGACAAGTTCGTTAATTCACTTACTAAAAGCAAGTTAGGCTCTTCTGCGATTTATTTCTAGCATCGACCACTTGTGGGCAACTTATTTTTTTAAGATTGTTTCCACTCAAACTGTACATCCAGTGCAAACATATGTCACTTGTTATCCAAAACATGAAAATCGTGTATCCACAAACAGCTTCGTTTGTCGCCATTTGCGCTCCCTCTTCCACGATTCTGCTCCTTCGCCCTCTCTCTTTCTTTTACTCACTTGCAGTGTGTGCAGAGCTCATAACTCAATCAACTGCCCGAAATTAACTGTCCGTCAACCTTTCATTTACCTTTCTAACCCACTTTGTCGCTGCTGTTGCTGCTTTTGCAGCTCGCATTGCGAACTATTCGTTTCATAGAGCGACGACCATTTCGCATACCCAAATACCTTTCCGCCCAATTAACTACTTCACATTTCTCTCAGTGCACAGCGCCAACGCAGCCCCTGCCACAGTCATTCCCCCCCGTCCACCTACCGCCCTCTTGGCACTTGGCATGTGCATTGCATCGCTTTGTTCGCTGTCGGCCGCTGCGACGCTCATTTTTGAGTGACAGCTGCAAAGTTTGTTTTGCATTTCATATTTGCGCGCGCTCTTACCCCCCTCGCTCCCTCACTCGCCCTTTCTATTCGCGTGTGTGCGTGTGTGTGTGTGCACAGCGACAACTGTCACTTGACCGGCTGTCAGCGTTGCCCACAGCCAACCCCCCCGGGCCACCCGCATCAGGGCCAATAGAAGAGCTAGCAAACAAAATAAATGCGCACATGCATAAAGTGTAAATGCGAATAAAAACACAGAAAATCATAATAAAAGAAAGAAAAAAAGGAAATTAATGCGGTCTTAGGCGCAAATTAAATACCCTTCTAGACATATGGTTAACGGCTTTGCGTGCATCTGAGGAGAAGAGTTAAGCTCCTAATTGCTGAGTTTGGTTGGCAATTCTTGAGAAACTGCAGACTTTTTTATTCTAAGACTTATTTTTCCAACGATTTGCTTTTTGGATATATGTTATATAGTTTTTCGATATTAACCAGACTTAACTTTTATTTTAGAAACATAGTTAACTAGTTCATGCCAAAGCTTAATTAATATATTTTAAAATAAATCGAAGTTTATCGTAGTTAACTGTTGAATGATTGCATGAAACAGCTAGGTATAATGCTTACAAAAAGTAAGTCGAACTTATGCAAACATTCGTGAGGATGGCTTTTAAAAAGAGGAAAAGAGGACAAAGAAGCAGACAGACAAACATGGCTATATCGATGGCTTTTCTGATCGACTCTAATCGCGAATATATATCCCAAATGCTGTAAAAGTTGTCTTCTTCTATGCATTACGCACTGCATAACAAAATTAGACTACCCAACCGCAGCAAGGGCAAACGAAAAAATACTCATACAAACGAAGGAAGGATAGCAAAAAAAGTGGACAACAAATTAAAACGCGGCAAAATAAAATTAAAA